CAATGTGGAAGTCGGTGAATAAAAACTGACTGAAGAGTTTGTGGGATTGATTTAACACTTTCATTTGTTGCATTTTTGCTTGGAGTCTCACTTTCATTTAGAATCAAAATTTGAGTTGTCTCGTTTATACCATTCCACTCCCAATTTACCAATTTATATCTTCATCAAAGATAATATTTTTGCCAATAATCACCTTGCTACTAAGAGGATTATATAGACGATATGCTTTGGATTGAGTGCAATATCCCACAAAAACGTATTTTTTAGATTTTTTAAGTTTGTGATGAATCTTATAATACACAACCAAAAATCTTCAAATGGCTCACTATTGGCTTCATACCTCTCTAACCTTCATAAGGTGCCTGTTTGAGGATTATTTTTGTAGGAGAAAGATTTAGCAAGTCAACAGTAGTTGTCATAGTTTTAGCCTAAAAATGATTTGGTAGTCCTCTCACTTGCAACAAGCTTCTAACCATATCCACAATAGTACAATATACCATTTTGCTTTAGAGTGTAGGGTGTAATGAATTCCTTGTGAATGCCATGTTTCTCACAGAAAATGTTAAACTCACTAGGTAAAAATTTTTCTCTTCGATTAATGCAAAGAGTCTTTATGAAAATTTCACTTTGCTTCTTCACAAAAGCCTTGAATTTTCTAAAACTTTCAAAAATCTTTAACTTATTTGTTAGAAAATAAACCCAACTTATTCGATTACAATCATTAGTAAAGAGCAAAAAATACTTATTCCCATCAAGTAATGTAATTCCCGTAGGCCTACATAGATTGACATGTATAAATTTAAGGCATACTCTCAACGACTGTCCATTTGGAAATGACTTTCTTGTTTATTTTTCATAAATACACCTTTCACATAAATCAAGAGCTCTAATTTGAGTCAATCCAAGAACTATACATTTCTTAAGCCTTTGATATTAAGATGTATATATCGCAGATGCCATAATTTTGATTCATACTTCCTATTAAAAAAACTACTTTTTCACGATAGAAATTTTAAGTGAAAATATTTTTTTTGTCATATGCATATTCACCATAAGTTGCCCAAATTTATCTTTAATCACACATACTCAATTTTCAAACACAATTGCACATCCACCAGCCATTAGTTGTCACACTCAACAAGTTATGTGCTAAATTAGGAATAAAGAAAACATAATAAAGTAGTTTTATTTTACCACTACTTACCTCCATTGCATTGGTCCTTTTTTTTCCTTCAACTTGTATATGCTTGTTATCTCCAAGTTTGACTTGTAACTTTCGTAACTCGTCAAGTTCTTTAAACAGAAATCTATTGGGAGTCATATGGTTTGACCACCCACTATCCACAAACTAAACATCATTTGGATCAAACATCATTTAGAACTTTATTAGTAGGAAAATGGGCCATGAATAACTTAATCTTTTTACTTTCTTCTTCCACATAGTTCACTTGGTTCCAACAATTTACCTTACATGCCTAAATTTCTTACAATTGTAAGATTAGACAGCGCTTATGTTTCCTTTGCCTCTTTTGTCTATCAAAATGATTTTTTCTTCTATCTTTGCCACATCCTTTGCCAATGGACACTTTTTTTCTAGGTTTTTCCCCTTCACTTGAAATGCTTTCTTATCAGTCTTCTCTTATGATCTGTTTAGCCTTAACTCATGAGCTTGTAAAGAACCTATTAGTTTATGAAAAGAAAAAATAGATAGATCCTTAAACTCTTCTATTACAATAACTATATGATCAAACTTTATAATTAAGTTTCATAAAACTTTAAATAATAGTCTCGTCAATAATTTTATCACCGTAAGATCTCATTTGAGTAACAATAAACATTACTCTAGAAAAAAAATCTTGCACTGCTTCTTTACTTGTCATCATTAAAGGTTTAAACTCATATGAGAGAGTTTGGAGTTTTACAGCAATAACCTTTAAAAAGCTTTAAAACTCTTTCTACAAGGTTTACCAAACTTTTTTTGAAGTGTAGAGTGCTACAATCTTAGAGAAAAATATTTAATAGATAAATAATGTTTTGGAATCCTTCATCTTGTTGTCATTTAGCTTTCCTTCATCGTTATCATTTTCATCGTATCTAGTCTCTACAAAATCTCAAATATTTTAAAATTTGAAGAGACTTTTCATCTTGATACTCTAAAAATCGTAATAGTTTTCGTCAAACACGAAAATGAGAGGTTGAGCTATATTTGAACTGTCATTCACTGCCATCATTGACAATTCAACAGATACAAAAAATGAGTAAAGATCTTAAAGCTTTGATACCAAAATTTGTTAGGAAAGAGTAAGTTCGTTGAAATTAAATCATTAAGACAAAAGAAAGAATCAATTTTTTATTAATTGCACATAAATTACACTATTTTTATTAAATTCAACTAGCCTTTTAATAAGCTTACAAGATAATTAACATAAGTAAAAATTTCAACTAACTAGAGAATGTAAAGTATAAAAAATAGAATAATTAACAGATAATGATTTAATGGAGAGATAGTGGTTGAATATTTGAAATCACCTAATCATGCACAAAAACTACTACCAATTATATCCTAAAAATCAAGTCAGTGAGTCTAAATGTGAACTAAATTTTGAATCCCTGTTCAACACATTCAGCCTTGCATAGTATGGTATTTTGATACAAATGTACATTAACCAATAAAAGGCTACATTGACCACATACAAAGGATCAAATTTGATTTCATTGTCCCACCGATGCAGCTTCTGTTTTGGAGAGTAATAATTTGCATGATCCCTAGCGAAAGAAAAAAAAAATGCCTACTTCATTACACAACTCTTCTGTTGGAGCAAGATAGAACCCAAATATACCTACACCAACCATTGTAACCAAAAATAAACCAAAATTCAGCACAGTAGTAATTGAATAACTCAAATCTTCCCATGTGACTTGACTTTATTATCACCTGTCGAATGAGCAGCATATTTTCCAGAACCAACATATGTAGAGGGTGACAGTAAATGGCCTTTTGCCCTCAAGCCACTGGAAGGCCTTGTGAGTTGCTATGGCTTGAGAAAAGCCATAAAGACATTGAGCGTCATACTCCAAAACACCATTGTAATGAACTGCACTTGGGGCAATAGTGTTCAACCCTATTTGTACCTGCAATCCAGAAGCATTTATCTTGTACGTTGATCGTCCCATCTTGTCTTTGTTATGTTCTTGCAGTCCAAGCAACAGATCCAGTTACATTATCACTTGGACACTGCTTGCCTTTTCGAGTTGTGCACTTTCCAGTAAAGAAATTCGAAGCTTCATTCATGTCCATCTAGAGCCCATCAACATGGACAAGTTCATGAAAGCGTCGAATTTCATGATCACCCCGTCATGCAACAGTTTTATGGTTGAGGAAATCTGGGAAATTAACAGCCCCGGGACCACTCTTGAGCCAAGTAGGGCTTATCCTCATACTTGATAAATACGTCATTGGCAATGCCTCTTTGGCATACACCATAACTATAATGTATTGTTGTCAAGCTGTTTTTTCCAATAGAAAATCCATGAGCCATTATAAGGGATGGCTGAACGGGGACTCGCCAAAAAATTTCCTCATCTAAACTTATTACTTTCCTCTCTTATATTACATTTGTGACTTCGCAGTTACTGTCCTATAACTGCGTTAAAAACTAAAGAAAAATTAACTTTATATTGAGATGTCCATGACATAAGCACGTTGCTTCAGCCGGTAAACAATTCATAGATATTTCGCAGTTTCCTTTCAAATCTCGTTTAATCAGCGCGGCATCATTTTGTCTTTGCCTCTCACCATGATCATGCCAGCTCATCTCCCTCTCCTTTTCTATCGCTGTGAAGTGGCATAAACAGTAACATTTTCGAGCCACACCACTAGGCACTGAAAACTTTACGTTATCTTAGGTGAGCACATGCCTATTTTGGAGTCCTCGCTGGTTGTTGGAAGGTCTAAAACTCTAAAATAGCCAGTGGAATGGACCACAATTCGGATAAATCCGCCCAAGATTCGTTGCAAAGATAACTGTAGGCCTCGATATGTGGGTACGTTTCAGGGGCACCAGGGCAGCCGAATGTGCTAAACTAGGCTAGCAGAAATGAATTGGCCCGTTTCTTCAAAATGGACTCGTAAAGCATTGTCACGATTCATCAGATCAGGCCACAACCTGATCTTTATCTTCCAACCAAGGGATCCTCCACCTGACTGAAATGGCACAGCTGAAAGCATTACTTAGCCACAAATTGGCTCCATTGCTAGGCTCAGCTAGGCTCAGCATTTTTTCCCAACAAAATTAAACTTGACATTCACTTTTTGGTCGCATTAGATATCAGTCACTCTTCATGTGCTCAAGCTTAACAAATAGTGACTTGAGAAATTCAAGCACGCAATAACATAAATGAATTTTTTTCAAGATATAGCTTATCTTCGCTTTCTCTCTTTTGTTCAAATTGAAAAAAACTCACCAAAAAAAAAAAAAAAACCTCATAATGAACCTTTGAGTTAGATAAGTGCAGCAGTAGTATTTCATTTACAATCATTATAATATAATTAATCAATCATAATTCAAAATTATATGAGATTCATTAAAATTTTATGTGAAATCTATACAAATATAAATTTTTATTTAATTTTTTTTATTATGATTGAATAATTATAATATTATAGTAAAAAAAATTATAAATAGTATTCTTCCAAATACAACAGAGCAAAACAAACTTGAATTGATTAGCAAGATTAGCAAAGAAATTGCATTGTCATATACATTGGAAATACATATGTTTTAAATATGATTTAAACATATACTATATATATATACATATATAATGTCAATCACTAAACAGAATTGGCCACAATAGAACACAATGCGAAAAGCATATTCCTAGAAAATAAGGTCACCTTTTACTTTGGGAAATAAACGCCATCTTGTAGGAACCTTATTATTCTATAATCTACATTGAAACTTTCAACTCCTGGGAAGCTTCATTAATATTCCAAGTTGCCCTACAATGTCTATCCTCTTTTCTCTTTTTTCACCAAGAGTATTTTTATGTATAGAAAAAGCTTTGACAATCCATGCTGCGAAAGCATAAAAATTCAAACTTCATGTTCTACAACTTGGCACGCTTTTAAAAACATCGGCTTAGATAGTGCTGCCGACAATGGTATTTATTCGACATCATAATCCTATTATTACCTTATTCGTGTATATATTCCATAAAACTTGTTTTCAATATATTCTATCAACTCCACTTATATATACATATATAATTACAAACTGCACGGGAATATTTGCCTTGTGTTTTGACAAAACTGAAAATTTTTTAGATGGAAGCGGTGAAGGGAAAGTCAGACGTGAACAACGCCCTTCTGGGAGGATCTAACAAGAGGGCAAGAGAGGTTGGGGAGGAGACGACCGTGACGGAGGAAGAGGTGGAGGAATTCTTCACGATACTCAGGAAGATACACGTGGCGATAAATTATTTCAAGGAAAGTAACGGCGATATCCGCAACTTAACGCAACTGGGAAAGGTGGAGTCCCTGACTTTGGAAGGGAACGTTGATCACGTAAACGGTAGCGAGAAGAAGGATGGAAACGTGGATTTAGACTTGAATGTTGATCCGGATAAGGGTTCAAACCCGTTTTAATTAGCCATTTTCTGTTTCCTTTCTAAGTGTTAGTCTAGCTTATTATTATTATTATTATTATTATTATCTTTTGAAATTTGGAAGATATTTGGTCTCTTATTTATTCTAATTTTAAGGCTATTTAATTATAATTTATAAAGAAATTATTGTATAGCTTTAGCTGCTACTCTCAACAGTTTCCTTTTGCACTTCAAATTTGTTTAATTAACTGTTTTTCTTTCAAATATTATGATTAACTAATCAAAACACTTAAAAACTTTTATTACTTAGCAAAACATGGTGAAACTACTGTCATAACGTCTAGATCCGAAGATCTATCGCTAGACATTGATTTAAATGAGTGGTCACTAATCTTTTTTATCTAGATGCGATTGACCACTTAAGAAATCCATCATTTTAGGGAACACCTAAGTTTAAGGGGCCCTAAAAAATAGGTTCGGATCTACTACCCAGAACAGGGTTCGAGAGTTCTAGCTTAATTCAAAAAATTCAATCGAAATTTAAAAATTTTTCAAAAATTTTCAGAAAAAAAATTTGCCAAAATTCTAAAAAAAATTTGAATTGCTTCTAGCCCTTCTGAACGCCTTTTTCTTTCTCTTCTCGCTCTTTTTCTCAGTCAGTCTCTCTTTTTTATTCTGTTTTCAGTATCTATTTATAGGGATTGATTAGAAGAGTTTCTAATTAATCTCAATTCCTCTTTAGATTAGGATTCAATCCTTGAATCTAATATGGACTCTTATTGAATTACAAATCCACGGTAAAACTTAGATTCTTATCACAATCCCTACCGAATAAGAAGAAAAATAAAATAAAATAAAATAAAATAAAATATATATTAATAATAATTGAAATAAAATAATTAGATAAATAAAAATATTAATAGATAAATAATAAAAATATATATATACATTAATAGATAATAATTTATGTTAATAGATAAATAAATATATATGTATATTAATAAATAATAATAGTAATATTAAATAATTAAATAAAAATTAAAAAAATAAAAATAAAAATAAAAGATAGACTTAACTATTTGGATCAGATCCAGACTTAAAGGAAATTGAATGTTTACAATTACTATAAATGATAATGATAGGGTCGGATAATTTGGTTATATAAAAAGAGAAATTACTGAAATTTTTTATTAAAATTCGGTGTTTGATGATTTTGATTAAAAGAAAAATTATTGAAACTTTTGAGTCAATCAGACTCGGTGATCGATGATTATGTTTTTATGAATGCTCTCAATATAACTGACGTGTGATTCTTTATGTACTGTATCTGCTTAATAGGCTTACCCACTATTCTTGCAAAGGTTAAAAGCTTGATACGTTGGAAGCAAAAGACTTCCACCAACCGCCATTTCCAATCATGGAACCAGGATTGTAATTAAGGCAATAGGAAGAGATAGGTTGGCATTTGCGAGAGAGTGGAGTGCGTATATCTTCAAGGCTTGAAGGGAAAATGTTTTAGATAGAATGGAATGGAAAGTGGAAACCACTATTTTATTATGGGTTTACGTCGAATTCCAACTACTAATTCCCGTGTTTGATTGCTAAACTTAAGACAAATAATTACTACCAAAAAAGAAATGATGATATTTATGGATATAAATGATATATTAAAACTCATAAATTATTCGGATTTGATTCAAATAAAATTTTAATCCGATTTAATTATTATCAAATTAAATTTAAGTTCAAATAATTCGATTTATTAATTGAGTTGAATTTGAGTATTTTTATATTTAATTTAAATAATTTACGAATCTAATCGAATTTTTTATTTTAATATATTTTTATTATTTTAATTAATAAAATATCTTGAATTCAATTCAAATATAAATAATAAAAATTTTATCAAATATAAAATTTAAATTTATTTTTTATATTAATTAAATCTAATCAATTAATTTTAATTTTTATCTTAAATTAAATTTAAATTAAAATAATAAATTTTAATTAAATTTGAATCATTCCAATCCAATTTGAACTCGAATGGTAACTTCACCAAAGAAAAGAAAGGGCAACAATTTGTTGTTTGTATTTGGTGAAAACAAAAGTAAAGAAACTGAGGGACGGGAAACCGGATTTACCCTAGTTGCTGCCCTACGTTTCTAACGTCATGTATCGTCTTTTCCACGACGCAAACTCATTACAACGACATTAGAAATGTCAATAATACATAAATAAATAATGCTATGTTGTTTTTAAAAAGATGCAAAACCTAGTATTGTTATCATTATCATTATATCGTGCAGAACACGTCGGCGTTTTGTTTTATTTGGCCGTGACGGTGACAACAGAATCGCATAAAGTACTGGACGGCAATGGAAATTATCAGTTTTCAGATTTTTCTTATTTAAATTAAATTTGATAATTCGTATCATTATATTATATAATTATATTTATATGGTATTTAATATAAAAATTATATATTATAATTTATATTAATATAAAAATATTAAATATATTTATAAATTTTAAAAAATTTTAAATTATATTATTTTTATATTTATTATTTATATTATTTTTATACGTGTTATGTTATTGTGTTTCAAATTATCACGTATACTTGGAACTATCACCGGGCGATAAAGTGGAAGCTGAGCGAATTACAAATAGATTCCACTGCCTTATTGGGTCTTTCGTTTATCACAAAAACTGGATGGGATCTGCTAGACTTTCATCGTAGAATTGGATTCAACTTGTACTAAGAAGTCAAAAATATTATGCTGGCCGATCTTCGGCCCTTTGTTTTGAGCCCTGATACTTGGAAAAAGAGATAGGAAACGTCAATCCCACAAAGCCTAAACATTTATGTCAGCCATTAGGCCCTAAATTCAAAATCATTTCTTTAATGCCTAGGCCCAAATTTTTATTTTCTATAAAGTTTTTCCCCTTTTTGTATTTTCGGGCCGCCCTATTAATGCCTAGTCGATCTTCCCTTGTTGCGATTTAAACGAGGGGAAAAACTTGCTGTTCAGCTTATGTTATAGATTTAATCGTACGATGGTATCAACAAAATTCGGGGAAGATTCTTTGTCCTTAATTATGAAATATTAAGGTGCAAATTTCATATATTTTGAATAAAATATTACTACAACTTCTTGAACAAAATGTAGAAATATTATAAATTATAAGACAAATACACCGTTGACTAATACCCTAATTTGTCCCGTTTACGAAGCATCAACCATGTTTAATTTTAGTTCCAATCAAATATTCCTATTTATCCCTATAACATAAATGATAAATAATTATTAAAGATATTTAGTGATCCAAAACATATTGTAATATTTATCTTTTATTAAAAATTATCACGTTAGTTCAATCACATTACTTTTATTTTTCATTAATTTTTTATTTTTTATTTATAAATATAGACATTCAAATATCATCATTTTATTTTATATCTTGCTTCAATTTCTTATCTTTCTCTTTTTTATATATATTTTTTATATTAATTTTTAATTTATGATTTAAAATACAAACGTAAAGAATATTTCATATTTTTATTTTTATTTTTTTTTTCTAGAAATACTTTCAAGTCAAAATTCAATACAAACAACAACATTTTTAACATTAATTGATTTCAAAATTTCTAGGACTGTTTTTTCAACTGATTTTGCCACCTGGACGGCCAAGCAAAGATTAGCTAAGAAATTGCAAAATGCTATAAACAAATTTGATAAATGCGTCCATAAGTTTTGAGTGCGTACATTTGACAGAAGCCCTTTGCTGTATTTGTCCATAAATAAGTTGATTATGTAAATACGTACGGCAGCAGCCAGCCCACGGGGAAAACCTAAGCAATGTTTTCCCATAAACAATCATATTTAGGTCAAGCCAAAACCTAGCATTCAATATGGGGGATTTAATTAATTAATTAACTTTACCGACAAAGTTGAAGTTAAAATCACTGCTAACTTTGGGTTAGGAAAAAGCCATCGGCTGTCCAACTTTTGTATGATTCAAAGTGATGGAGCAGCCTTTGCGAGTTGGTATTTATTGTAAAATTTAAATTCGAATTTCATTGTCATCAATATTTATTAGTTGACTATCTATAAATTTAATATTAATTTTTTGAAATTTATGATTTGTCTCCTTCTAAAAATAATAAGCCAAAGCTAGTGGGTGGTGGCCGTAGCCATCGTATGCATTTGATTGGGGTTAGGCCATCTGCCTCTTTTCCCATACCGTCTAGTTTCACATTTATTTTCCTTTTGCCGCAAGCGGCTTTGATATTTCACGCGTTTTTTACGAAAAATATGAGAGAATTAACCCGTTCACCGTTGATAAGATCTCAATTAAAGTTTTTAAGTCAATTGTTCATACTTCGTATCATACTTGTTGATAATTTAAAATATAATATAAAAATATGATATAAAATTAAAATTAAAAAAAAAGATAAAAATTAAGATTTTAGTAATAATTATATATAAATTTAATAAAATTTTAAAAAATATATTTTTATATTTTTATATCAATATAAATTATGATTTATAATTTTATTAAAAATTTAATATAAATATATAAAATTTAATATTTTATATGATAAAAATATTCCAACCGTCATACCTACCCTGAACTCAAACCAAGAATAGGAGGGCAAGAAATTAGTTTGTACCGAACGTATAAAAGGAAATTTCTTAACGATCTGAAATAAAGGCAGCCAGCTAAAAGCGTTGGGTCAAGCCTTAATTAGCCACCAAAAGGAGAAAATTAGTAAAAGAGAAGAGTAAAGGAAGATTGGTAGAAATTGCTTTCAAATTAGGAATTTTCTTGATTCAAAATAGTGAAAGAGAACCACAATTTATGGGTCCATTTCACGATTTCAATACCTTTGATTCCCAGTTGTTTTTCATTTTCCAAGTTAGATGTGATTCCTATTTCCTTGAAAGCTAAAGCGTGTCATGCACAAAATGTGATGTATGTAACCTTTGCTAGTCTTCCCACATGAACATTTCGTTTGATGTAAATGTCAATGTCAATGTTTCAAAGTTATCATGTTGGAAAAGAATTCTAAGTCCACAAAGATTTTGTTCCCCTAAAAATTGGATTGGAATATTTTACACGAAAAGATAAATATTTTAGAAGCAAT